TCCTTATGGGAAAGTGCACCACGATCGATTTTTTTCATTTTTTTATTGCATTCAATTCATCTCAAGATGCTGATCAAAAGTCATCGTTGTGCCAACTTTCTATGATGCACCTTTCTTGCACAATACGCCCCAAACGCTTCAATTATTCGGCGATTAAGAGTCCGAGAGGTTCCTCATTTCAGCACTCGGGTGAACAGTCGGCTGAGTGTCAACAAGGAAATCAGGGGAACTCCAGCACCGAGCGGCAGTCTTATGTCGGATTCTGCACGCCTTTTTGCTTGACCATCCAAATCAGATTCGTGAGGAGCATAAGGACAGGAGAGTAGGAGAAAAACAAAGGAACGTCCAACGAAGGAGAGCGGGAGGGAGATAGCCCCAGAGGAGGTAGGAATAGATCAGAGGACAGACACTCGCTACGTTTTTCCTTATTCACATCACACCTGTTCTCGAATGCCTTCTTACTTGTGACTCTTTAGAGTTGAATAATTGAAGCGTTCTGGGCAGGGATTTAGAGCTGAGGTTTGAGGCAGCATCATAAACGGAGCGGCATCGGCGCGCAAGGCGGAGGTCCGGCGCGGACTTTCATGCCGCGTCGAACAATGTGCCGGGGGATCGCATTTGCCCGTGAGGCGGCTTAACCTAGTGAAGCCGACACCCGGCATGACTTTTTGATGCCGTCTCAATGTTGATGCTGGGTCCAGCATCAAAATTGAGGCGGCTTCAATTAGCAGACACGTCGGACGCCAGCGCCCCGGGCCCGGCTGCCGGTCGGCTAATCGCATCGGGCTGTGTTTTCAACCCTTCCTCGGCGTCCACTACTTAGAACTTCTCGGCGAGGCGTGTGCCGCCGCCAAGTCAAAGGGTGTTCCGCGAATTCATCGCCAGATCCAAGGGTCGCATACCCCGACAGTCTTCTGGGACAGCCCCGTCGGTAATGAAGCTAGATGGCGGGACCGAAAATTGATGCTGTATTGGGCCGCGAGCCGAGGGTCCGGCTTCAAAAGTTGAGGCCCATTTTGGTCCCTAAGCCAGCATCAAACCTCAGCATCAGCGCTTAATGCCAGTTCGGCCGGCACGCCGGCATTGGGCTTCGGTGCCCGAAGCCGGCGCCGGCAGGTTGCGTGCGTTAGGCTCGGCGCGGCGCCGCATGCCCGCGCGGCCGCTACCTGGGCATACGGCATTAATGCTGAAGCTACGAGCCGATGCTGTACGGCATAACCTCATGAGGCACCTCAAATACCTGGTTCTGGGCGTATTGTGCGGAAACGGTGTATCGAAGAAAGTTGGCATAATGATCACTTTTGATCAGCATCTTGAGATGAATTGAATGCAGAGAAAAACTTAGGAATCGATGGTGGTGCATTTCCTCATAATGAGTGTGCGGGGTACGTCAATGGTTTTTAATGTTATCAAATGGGAAAAAATTTGATGGTACGTTTAACCAATGCCTGACGGAACGCGAACGTCTGAGAGAAATGGGGCCTTACTTGGTTAGGAAAACGAGTAAGCTTATTTAAAATTCCCTTTAATACATTTATCCTTACTGAACTTTTTCACTTCTCTTAACTGCACTTCTGGGGCCTCTTCCCCACCGGCAAATAGTTTCAGATCATCCACGAAGAATAGATGACCATGATAAACATACAACATAATGGTGTCGTCTCTTAAATTATGAGTTCCAAAAGTGTCAATGGAGAGCTGACGAAAGTAGTAAGTTTCTTGTATTGGAAAACACGTGGTAGAATTGGATTCCGAAAGTTATAAGTTATGTTTCCACACCAGCTGATCCCTAAATATTAAAAGGGCACAAGTCTAATTTTTGGCGAAATTGAGTTAGGAGCGGTTTCTTATTCCTCATCGATAGACGTATCTTGTGTCAAAAAAGGTACTTGTCCGCAGCTTTTAAATACGTTAAAAACAGCTGCGAAAAATCACTAAATTCGAAAAGGGCACATTTCCGGGACATGTGCTCTTTTTGAACCTTTGTACTTTGTACCCGGATCAGCTGGCGAGGAAACATTACCTATAACTCTCGGAATCAAATTCTACCACATGATTTCCAATACAAGAAACTTACTACTTTCGTCAGCTCTCTGTTGACACTTTTGACATTACTATTACTATTAACATACTATTACTATTACTATTACTATAAAACTTCTCCAGATCTGCCATCTTCTTATTAACAATGGGAACAACCCCTGTGTGCAAGTGTTTTGTGGGTAAACAAAGTTGCATTAAATTCGATTTTCTCAGTTTGAATGACAAAATCGCCCAAGACCCGAAATACACTCAGGAACCTCTAAGACCATGAAGCTCTCAGTTGTGCATTCAAATTGACGATAGGTGGAAATTATAAATGTATCCACCACTGGTCTACCTAAATGCCTACCATTCTGCTTTCTCAGGACTTGACCTGCTTAAAATAGTATTCTTTGAACCATCCTAGGAAGTCAAACATTATGGCCGGGTCAACTAAAAAAACTCGAAGTTTCCCAACAATTTTTAGAGGCTTGAGAATTAAATCAGCGTATTGGTCAATAGTAAGTCTACCTGTTCTCCTGAGCTTACGTTTTATAAGCCCAAATGCCCGGTCGCAAGGTAGTTACCTACAAATGCCCACGTTAAGGAAATAATAATTTTAGCGTCTTAATTTTCTCTGTTTCAACCAAGGACATTAAAGCACGTATGAGCGCGTGGTTTTTTTTTTTTTTTTTTCTTCAATTCCCAATTTTCAAGAGCGTTTAATTATTTAACACGCGAGAAAATGGATTTTTTGCCTTATGTAACGGCAATGGGAAATTATCTCACATTTAATTTGATACCAACACAATTTTTGTGCGTCAAAAAATGCACACGCTAGAGCAATTTAAGTGAAGCGTCACGGTACGCGGTGCGCGGTAAAAACGGCGGAATACGGGCAATTAACGTGCTACGCAAGTCATTCGCGCGCTATATCCCGACACATTCTCGTCCGATTTCAATTATTTTGGCTTGTTTAGAGGCTATGTTGAAAGTTAACTAGTGTAATGGATATACTTGCAGTTTTCCTCCGAATTTTCCGGTATTTTTCAAAAGAGAAGAAAATGTTCAAAGTTCCAAAATTTACAACAACTAACAATTTTCAATCGGGTGGAGAAACAAACCTCCTCTCGTATTTTGTAGAAAGATCATTCTCTGATGTTTAAAATGATACCATAACCATTTTTGTGCGATGATAAATAAATCCATGAGCTCAATTTTAAGCGCACCCCCGTGGCAAGCACTTTCCGTTGGTAGGCGTTTCGACCCGATTCATCGCCGCGCCGCGCCATATGCAACCTAAGTCGACGCGACCTTGCGTGATTTCCCGGGTTGTAAGACAGATTTTCGATAAATAGCCATGTGTAGAGGGTTATCTCCCTTCCCACAAAACTTAATTTGTTTATCAGGATGAATTTCCATCGGTTTAGTCAGTATATACGGAGGGAAAAAGGGACAGAAATTCGTACAAATCAACATGAAAGAGTATTCTCTTTTGGCCGTGGAGTGTTTGTTGTCTGGAATAAGGCGTGATATGAAATGGTTTGGGAGATCTACGAGCTATTTTCGTTGTTTTTTTGGGAAGTTTTGCAATAACGAAGGAAAGGTGGAAAATGATAGGATTATTTTGAACATAAACTTAGTTTGTACGTATGAATTCATTTGTAAATCTTGAAAGAATATCAATGTGAGTTTGAATTCCGTAATAAATTGACAGCCCGGTATTTCATTGAAAATTAGGCAGTACCGTATAATATCCTCGGTTAGTTAGTTAGTTAGTATAATTTTAAGACATTCAGCGTCTCAGGCTATTAACGTCTTTACAGATAATTTTGAATTGTGTGCCTTAAGTGATCGACTGTGGACGTATCATAAAGGTGCTGAGGGAAACATTTGTTTGAGATACAAAACTTTTCAGAAAAAATCATTAAGATATGATTTAAACTCCACATGGTAGTAAATTTGGATCGAAAAAATCGCATGTCCACTTTAGTCCCCCCCCCCACCCTTAGCGAATTGTTTTAATTCGACGAACAAGAACTGTTTAAATCTGTTTCGGAAGTAAGATATTTGAAAGTAATGGATGTCGGGAAATGGAGGAAGATGTTGGTGAAGCAATTTATCTGCCTCTGGCATTGCCTGCCTCTTAGAAATGGCCAAATTGAAATACTCGTGGGTAGCAAAAGGAATCGTATCTCTGCAAAGGAAAGAACACCAGGGAACCTTCCCGCCCTACAACAGGGCCGCTACATGCTTAAATTTTGGATTAAGAAATAGGAAAAGAAAACAAACATTAGGTTTTGAGTGTAAAATTGTGATGGTAGTCATGTTGAATGATTCTTCAAATTCTCACAAAAATAGAATAGTATACTGAAAGAAAATACCATCAGCATAGGCAAAGCCAGGTTATCTCGAGCCCCCTACCACCGGAAAATCATGGGAGCATTGAAACCCCTCCCCCCTCCTTCATCCTACAGTTCAAAATTATTTGGAGGGATTGAAGCAGCAACGTTAAGGTGCTCGATGCCCGAGGGATTGCAGTTTGACAGGGGGCAGTGGAGGTTAGGTGTCATAGAGCGTCAGGGGGCAGTGAAGGTTAGGTGTCGTAGAGTGCCAGGGTGCGATATAAAGAGACTTACATATACGTAGGTAAGATATTCACTTCTTTTAAATTGTTAATAATTATGTCGAGCAGACACAGTGATAACCTAGCAACCGACTGCCACGTAGGATTTCTGACGGCTGCCAGTTGGAATCTTTTCTGCAGAACCCATCAGAGGTCTGTAAACTTTCCCGAGCTTTATTTGGAACATGAGGGGGACTCACGGATATTTTAAAGGCCACCATTGTGCTTTTCAAGAAAATTCACGCAGGACATTATGTACACTTTAGGAATCCCTGCCACATAAAAATTCTTCATTGTATAATATTTTAAAACCCTACAAAAGAAGACAGATATAGCATGTGAAAATACTTACATTTTGGAGCCAAGTGTTGTCATAGCTGTTTGAATTAGAGGCTCTAAGTTGTCCTTATTAACAGGAAAACTGTCTGTGATCGAATCTAAATGAGCAACAGCTTTTTGTGCTGCTAATTCAAATCCATCAGCAATTCTAATTGGATGAATACCTTTGTCCAAAAGTACTTCGGCTTGCTCAAGAAGGGCTCCTGCAAGAACTGAAAAACAAAATTATGCAGCATTTCTCAGTCTAAGGAACTACAAAAAGATTAGCCTTCCTGACATAAATGGACAAACATCCAAAATCCATGATAATTTGCTGAGTGCAAAATCCTAGCTCAAACTGAGACTTGGTCCAGAAACCTGCAAAAAGAAAATTCGGGTTTCTTTGGTTCCACCTGGGAGTGAGGAGGTAATGACAGTATTGTGTGACACTGCGGAGCTTCACAAAAGGGTACTAGCTATGAGCATGGACAGACAGAAACACACATCTAGTGAATGAGCACTTTGTGACGCAACAGTTAAAGATAGGCCAAACGATCGAGATTTTTGCCCCAGGACCCTTAAGGTAGTTTCATCTTCGAAACATATTTTCACCTTCTCCCAGAAATTTCAAATTAAAATTTGACGAGGCGACTGCCCAAAGGATAGACTTATCCAAGGGGCCCAACATTGGTATGGGGCCATTAATACTCTTTGACAACTTTTAATCATAGGGACAAGTTGCCTCTTGAAAGTTCGCCTGAAATGATCTAGCCTAGTGAGGAGGGCCAAAACTTGGCCATAGAATAACAGTTATTATTCAATGGCTTGCCATCTTCAATTTGGATGTTCCAGGTACCAGCTTATGGCTTGTGAAAGTTGATTGCCGACCTGTTTTTGATGTTTCGGCAAATCGACCCTCTGCATATCAGTAGCTACGGAACAACACCGTTTATCCATATACTCACGATTTTACAGGACAGAGAAAAAACTTCGCAATTTTTTTTTTCTTGAGGTTAGGAATGTAATTTTTTTCACACATTACGGCGTTATTGTAGCCCTATCATGTAGAATTACACAAAAATAAACTCAGCTTGCATATTTTGTGCTGTAGAATAGGGATACAAATTGTTCTAGGCTGCTGCAATTTTCTGCAACAAGCAAAGTTTTTGATCCTGCTTTTTAGCAGGTCAACACAACGTGCTGATTTAACCTGAAAACCCTCAAAAGGAAGGCAAAAAAAAACTTCTCAGCCTACACAATTTGGTCCCGACCGCGCGGTCAAGGACAACTAGCTCTCCTGCTATAGAAGTCGCAGACTTATTTTCGCCAAAATTGAAAATTGGGCAGTACTGTTCCTTAGCTATAGATATCCTGAAAAACAAGCCTGTGTAGAGTCTGAGAACATCTTGGCATCGAAACGGAGTGAAGCAATGCTACCCCTAGTTACTCAGTCGGATTTATGGATAAAAATTAAAATCCTGCCAGCTCCTGTGGCAAATTAGTTTGCGCCACAATGAAGGTACACTAGGGTGGTTCTTATTTTTGAAATTTTCGAAATGTTGACCTCCCATTCTTGTAAAACATGAGGTTGGTGGTAAAAATGTCTACTGTTTTTTTAAAACAATTATTAGGGGTTGCGCAAGTGGCCTATAGGGCGTAAGTTAAATTTATGGTCTTTGAGCTATATGATATATAAATTCTTATGGAAAAAGCAAAGTTGGAGCCCTTTGGGCCGAAACTTTGGTTGGTCTTACCGCACTGTGAAGCATTCAACCAGGAATCGCTAATTTCAAAGCGCGTGGCACGCGCTGGCGAAAAGCTCAACTTGGCCGATCGCGCGAGCGCGGTCGCGGGGCGTCGCTGCCCCGCCGGCCACTAACGAAGATTCTCACTGGTGCATGCTGGCGATAAGGGGACATTTATCAGATGCTATGTGATACGATTTCTATTTTGCATTTACATCGGCTGTAGTAGGAGCACTTACAGTCCAAGGTACAGCGACGATGGTTTTTCCGAAGCAGGGGTTTTACGCATGTCAAAGAGGAAGACCATCCGACATTACGCAGTTAATGGGAAACTTACCACGAGAAAGAGTTACACCTACAAAACCATTTACAGTCGTAGGCTTGGACCATTGTGGACCATTTAAAGTGCGCTTGCAGCCTAACAAAGAGGCTGTCGATCTCTTGTATACTGTTGTATTTATATGCTTTGCTACAAAAGCTGTTCATCTAGAAATAACATTTAATCTAACTACTTACTCATTTCTATCAGCACTATAAAGATTTGTACCTACCCGCGGAATTCCTCTAAAAATATATTCGGATCAGGCAAAAACGTTTATTGGTGCTAGAAATAATGTGACTCTATTTATGTTGTCATTCCCTCAGTAGAGCTCGATAATTCTGCCCACTCTCCAAAGCAGATGAGGCAAAAACTTATCTTTCAGTATCACTAATGTATTGACCTTAATATTAGTTTATTTTACTTACGTACACCTTTGTTGTTGTTGATATAAATATTCCAACAACCAACGTTTCAAAAATTTTTTGTATAATTTTTTAATCAACTTCAACTTTGTAACCGACAAAGTTGGGCATTCTGTGTTAGTGTTTAAAACATCGGTCATTGCAGAACCAATCAGGAAGTGGTTAGGAGTTGGTGGAGAGAGATCAGAGGGATCGTTAGACATTGGCCAAAGAAGTCTAGAATTTAGGATTGCTCAAAGACATTGAATAAAGTAGACCGTGCGCTGTGAAATTAAGCAGTGGCCACTTCTCTTCCATTCATATGCCCCACCGACCGATGAGTGCGGGAACACCGAAACGGCACCGGTGAGGTAGTGAGCCCCAGCCGTCCCCAGCTCGAGGTAAACAAACACTGGGCTTATACGAGGTTGGTACGGTTGGGCTCCGAAATTTTTAATTATTAATTGATTAGTGCGAATATTTTCAGCAGATATGTTCTTTAATTATAATCAAATGTTTCTGTGTGAAGATGTGTTTTAGTTTTCATGATCAACACCACACAACTCTCGATTTATGGTATGCTTACATGAGCAAATTCGTGAAGATTGATGAACCTGGCAAGAGACAAGAATGTTTATGTCCCGACGATAATTTTTAAACTTTGACTACATTTAGCCTTAAGGGACTACTATTTTTGGTTCATTTGTTTTACTACCTAACTACACAGGAAACTAATACACGACACAGCAACGGATCATGAACTAACGGCACATTTTGTTCTTCCTAAAATGAGCCAGAAATAGCACTTCCTCATTGAAAATTGTAGTCAACTTAGTGTCTTCAATTACAAGATAAAGTTGTATCAGTTAGTCATTTTTATTTGTGATAAATGTAATATTAAGTAAATGCTCTCAGCATTGTGCTGAAAACATAGCATAAGTGCTGTGTTTTTTTAATTTTATAGAGGAAAGTAAGGACATGATAAAAACTCATTTCATACAATCCACTGCACTGTAATGTGCAGTAAAATTGAGGCACTGGGTGCAAGAATGACACTTCTTGGTTGCGATGGTTCAAAATCTCTACTAATATTTCATCAGTGAAGGAAGTGCATGGATTTCGTTGAAATTTTTACTGAGTTATTTTTCATGATTCCGCAATTTTCTGTGGAAAAAAATCCTGGAAAATTGCCATTAGAAACCACTCTACTAAACAAAAATGAGCGACAAAGATTCTGGAACGTCGTTAAAAAGAGGTGCCCTTCTCGAGCGCAGCGACTTTATCAAAGAGCCACCTAAAAATGCAAAGGAATTAAGAGCAATTACATACCCATACTTTTTTAAAATAAACAGTATCCACAATCGCTAGTCACAAACAAATGACTGAGACATTGATTTTTAAATTTTTGAGCAGATTAAATAACAATAAGTTGTGACACGCAAATTAGTTTGATAATAATGCTTGAACCATACCTTTTTCAGTGGAATAATCTTAAATCTTGGTATTTTGAAACGACCAAAATCGTTGCCCCTCTTTTTCAGCATTCCATCAAATCCTTCTCTTGGATCAAGATGGACAATAGCTTTAAGTAACTCTCTCGTAACTTTTATATGCCTTCTTATGTACAATACATAACATTATTTCTTGTTTTTACCCTTGATTTATATGATTGACCTCATTTTAAATCCATTTGTACTTTTACAAAATTACCTCTTACCTACGCCGTCATCTTTACAAGCTGCACGCATTATAAGAACATCCGTCTGATACACAGGTCACTTTCCTCATATTTTCAATTAATAAGCGTTTTTCTCGGTCAGTGATGACTGTAGAGAAACGAAAATTGTTCAGAGTAACAGTAAATTTCATGCTCTTAATATGCGGTCCGTGTAAAATTTGCCGAAAATGAAGTGGAAATGAGTAATTCGCGAAAATCCGGGCGCGCAACTGATTTTTCCAAGTACGCGCAACGCTCGTGCTGCGTGGGGCTCAGTCGCGAGCTCCCACCCCACCCGCCCATTACGGAGTCCCACCGAAGTGGCCTCGCTCAGCTGACACGGCAGAGATAGGTTTTGCACGGTCTACTCTATTCAGTGTCTTTGGGATTGCTTCAATTTTGTTCAGGATTGTTGAGAATTCTTTGAAATAGGGTATGTTTGTTGTTACAGTCTTAGAAAAATGATGTTTGAAACTTTGGACAGAGCTCTACCATAAACCCCAAAATTAGGAGAGTAACTAGGAATGAGCTTCCATTCAATCTGTTTTTCTTGCAAGTAATTTAAAATTTCAAGAGGAAGGTTATTTTCAAACAATAGGGGTTGCCTAAGATTATTTCTAGCACCAATAAACGTTTTTGCCAAGAGATCGACAGCCTCTTTGTTAGGCTGCAAGCGCACTTTAAATGGTCCACAATGGTCCAAGCCTACGACTGTAAATGGTTTGGTAGGTGTAACTCTTTCTCGTGGTAAGTTTCCCATTAACTGCGTAATGTCGGATGGTCTTACTCTTTGACATGTGTAAAACCCCTGCTTTGGAAAAACCATCGTCGTTGTACCTTGGACTGTAAGAGCTGCTACTACAGCCAATGTAGATGCAAAATAGAAATCGTATCACATAGCATCTGATAAATGTCCCCTTATTGCCAGCATGCAACAGTGAGAATCTTCGTTAGTGGCCGGCGGGGCAGCGACGCCCCGCGACCGCGCTCGCGCGATCGGACAAGTTGAGCTTTTTGACAGCGAGCGCCGCGCGGACTAGCGATTCCGCGCTTTGAAATTAGCGATTCCTGGTTGAGCGCTTCACAGTACAGCAAAACCAACCAAGGTTTCACCCTCTAGCATGATAGTAACCTTAAGAAGTGTGCTAAATGACTAACTTTATTATTGGATCATTTTTTCTCATAGTTTCTATTTTTTTAAAACCTGCTCTAAGAGGTCCATGTTTTTGAACTTGAGGGGAGCGGGAAGTATCGAGAACCAGCGAGTACCAGAATCAGACCTGTACCAGCTGACGCAGAATTTCATGTGGTTTTACCATCTATGAAGATATCTCGGAGTTTTTGGCAGTTCTGAGAGAGAGATAAACGAGAATTAGTGACCCGGTGCACCAAGGTTCTACTTTCCTTTTCACTGATCAAAAATCATTACGGCTTTCTCTTTGAGTACTATTACAACCGTTACCTTTATTTCCTGATTATTTTAATGCACTAAATCCAAATTTGAACTCAGATTTTCACAAAAAAGTCATCTGCCAAAGTTAACTCCATTTTTCTGTCAACTTGCTAGGAATCACAAGCTCTCAAGCAATGGCTCAGCATATGGTTTATTTAAAGTAACAAAGGTGGGTATACTATGAATTCATGTGGTTCAGGTGCTTTATGAGGATGAAAATAAGATATTTTCAAAGCAAAAGCAGTAGGTATGAATTTCTGGTGGAAAAGCAGAAATTTCGATATTTTTTAGTTTCTAGAGGATCAATACAAACTACTGAATAGGATCTCCTGAATTGCAGAATGGTTCAAACATCCAACATGGTATCTGCAACTAGTACGTTGAACAAAGGACCCCGCACGGTTCTTATGGAAAATGGCCCTCGGTCAAATGCGTTGAGCTTCAGTATGTTGTGCAGCATGTCATCGTGAACAAAAGTTCCAACAGGCCAAACAAGATCCCATGTGCGGTTTTCGAGATATTCGCCGTTTTATGTGCGTAACCGGAGGTTTCGCGCGCTCCCGCCGGAGCCATACCATTGTGCGGCGCCGCTCGTGCCCTTCCCTCCCAGTCACTCTCCGCTGCCCCGCCGCCCATACCTTGGCTCCTCTATCGCTCCAACTACGACGCTCACGAGGCTGCGCCCATCATTACCGGACCGCGCCCGCACGCCGTCTTCTTACGCGGCCTCTTCTTCGGCCATGTCGCCTCTTTTTCTCATCGATCCTTTCTCTAAGTCTTCAAAAACGTTTAAGAAGTCCATTTTTACTAAACATGATAATGCTAATATCACAAATAATACAAAAAAAGAGGAAAAACAAATGATAATCCATGCGAAAGTACGTAGGAGAGTTGGAATGCCTAAGAAACGTTAAATAAAACGAACTTTTTTTTATTTTCTTCCCTCTTCTTTTTTTTCTTCATTTTTCTCATGTGGAAGCAGTGAAAGTAACTTCTGTCGGAAGATGATGTTGATGTTTTTTCTTTTTTTTTTTTTTCTTTCTTTCAATAATGACGTGGTGGAGGTTGAGGGTAATTAGTTGGCTGACGATGCCCAAGTAGGAATTAAGTTTGCTTTAGTCTTGACTTAGCTGAACCGCACCAATGGAGGAGGAGAGAGGGATCATTAATAACTGAACTCAAGGAAGAGAGATGTCCATTTAGGCGTAAATGGCCACATCTTAAGTCGCTCCAACTTGCAGCACCACCTTATCAGCCACCTTATTATCTGCTGATCGTATTCTCTAATCAGATCGTACATCCAAGACAAACTCCATAGAGATGATGAAAAAGAGTTGCAGGTCGACCGTAACATTCATGCGCGTACGCGGCCTTTTGTCAGCTAAGTCAAGGTATGGGCCAAGGTATGGGCGGCGGGGCAGCGGAGAGTGACTGGGAGGGAAGGGCACGAGCGGCGCCGCACAATGGTATGGCTCCGGCGGGAGCGCGCGAAACCTCCGGTTACGCACATAAAACGGCGAATATCTCGAAAACCGCACATGGGATCTTGTTTGGCCTGTTGGGACTTTTGTTCACGATGACATGCTGCACAACATACTGAAGTTTCAACGCATTTGACCGAGGGCCATTTTCCATAAGAACCGCGGGGGTCCTTTCTCTACTTCTCCTCTCACATTTCTTACTTAATTCATTATTCAAGTTTCCATTGTCTAAAACCCATAATATGATGGCGTGAAAATTGATTTGAATGCTCCAAAAAAGCTTCAACTCATTGCATCCAATCAGAAAATTGAGAGAAATTCACGTAAAATGACCCTAAGGTATAAGTAGAAAACTAGTCCGCGAAGCAACTATGATTGGACCATTGTGCAATATAAATATGACCCAGCAGGCATTAACAATACCTTCCTTTGCCTGATTTTGGTTTCATCTACTCTTTCGCAAAAATTTAGACCCATGAAGCTGGAATAAACATCAACAGAACCAGAGTAAGGATTTTTGAGCGGCTAGATTGGCCCTTTTCCCCAGTGTGGGACATCTTCCTGTTGAATAAAATTTTCCTGTTGAAATCCGATCGGTAGAACACAAATTAGTATCATACCTACAACACCCGTTGTCCCATCACCAATTTCGTCATCTTGGGACTGCGACAACTGAACCATCAATTTTGCGATTTCATGATCTACATCCATCATTTTTAATATTGTTGCACCATCATTTGTGACTGTAACATCTCCATCACAAGAGATCATCATTTTATCCAATCCTTTTGGTCCAAGAGATGTACGAAGAGTGTTTGCGATGGATCTACCAGCTAAAATATGGGACTGAAACATTCAGAGAAAAAAAGAATTATCACTTTGACAATGCTAAAAATAAGATTTCATTCATGCAAAGAGAGACCAAGGAGGAATCATAACTTCTACTGTTCAAATCCTACTCTCTTACCCCTTCAGTTGAGGCAGTGTTTATGTTAGTAGGTATAAGGCAACAATGTAAGCCCAGCCGTTCGGGCCTATTGTGGTAGCGGCCACCACTAATATACCGTCATGACATCCTATCAGCAACTAATTGTCTTTGTCTCCAGTTTCCTCCGAAACACATTAACAGTTTCCTGTACTTATTCTTGGATTTTATTCCATCAACAATTGAATAAAACCTCATTTAAATTTTGTATTTGAGGTACCTATGTAAGGTGCAGCTACAATTTTGAAAATCTTTAATTTTCAAGCTCTCAAATAAATCATTACATTTTAGTCAAACAGCCATTGCTACGTGCCTTTAACCGTGCCTGCTTGAGTGCTATCGAGGTTTACCTATCCAATCCTTTCCAATGTCTACAGGGTAGAGATGAATCCCTGAAATTTTCATGCTTCCTTCCAGAAGTGCACGATTGTTACGCTTATCGGCCCCACTATAGAGAATTAAGGTTTATCTACAGCTCTGAGAAGTAAAAAATTTCTGCGCACAGGGGATGCCACCGCTGTGTTTCGATTATGAGGGTCAAATCACTGAGGTTCACACAGCTTGACGTGAGTCCTTGAGCTTATGTGAAAATTAAAGGAATTTCTGTTAAAATCGAAGAGTCATAAGTTCTGGCTACGACATTCTCCTTCCTTTTGGTACTAAAAAGGTGAGAAAAATAATTTCTAAAACTCAAAAATTTGATCCCAAAAAAACTAGAGTTATGCACACTGATGTTGATGTGACCAATCACAAGTGATCTTTTTCAGCTGCATTGCAGATCTCTCCCACTGTGAACAATCTCTCTCGCACTTGTAGGCATCCCATAAGAGAAACTGGGATTAAGTTTAAGACTTTATTATCTATACAATAAGCTCCGAGACCTCCTAAATTTGCATTTCTGGTAACGCTTGGTTCAAGCCTTTCACCGGGAATTCATGATTTTTGATCGATCAGCAATTGTCTCTAGATGAATCCGCTCTATTCAAATTTTGAAAATAAGACCCAGGTTTTCTCGTATTACGTGGTAAAGTTGCAAGTTCTCCCATTTAAACAGTGTAAATTTCTATATTTTGTCATAGTTTGTTGGAGCGTTCTACTGGGCCGATTTACAGGATTTATTGCCGTTTGTGACAGGTGATGGTCCCTAAATGAGCCCGCTGTAATTAGAAATCAGAATTTGAAAAAAGGACCCGGGTTTTTTTTATATTAGAAGAGACCAGGAAGCTTAGATGGAGGGAGGGGGGGGGGCAAAGAGGGTTATTCAATATCGGCGATTTTGCCCTACGCTTGGATTTTGCCCGGAGTTGGATATGTTGTTCCCTATCACAAGACACGCCTTTTTCCGGCATTGGCAAGTTCACCCGAAATTTTTCCCGCGCGCTACAGCGTTGCCAAGTTGAAAACAGGCAAATTCCATAGTGGCATTAAAATTGAGCTATGAAGTTGCGGTTTTAACGAAAATTCTCTAAAAATTGCGCATTTTTAGGAAATGATCATGTTTTTAATGTCGCATTAATTTTAACATGCATTGTTGCCAATTTTTCGATTTTTAAATTCGACAAATTTTACAAATCCGCAAATACCCAAAAAAGCTATCTTCAAATTTGAATGAAAAGTTGTCTAATCGATAGTTCGTTTGATTTCGCATCCATCGATATATTATAGCTTGCAGGGAAACTTTTGGTTCGCGAGATATCATCATTTTTGTAAACAGCTTTATGGAGCGACAACGCTTTTTGAGTCCGGGCAGATATAAATTTTAGCCTTCAAAAACACCGGGTAGCATTAATTCCATGGTTTCCTATGTAATTTTTGGCGCTGAATCCGAATTTGACCATTTCATAAAAAATTGTCACCTAAATGTTGCCAAATTTGGCAAAAATGGCTTAAAATCGGCCTTTCGGGCGGATTATGGCCAGTGACCTGCCAGGAGTTGATCAGACGACAAAATTGGTTATTTCCACGGTTAAAACTCCAGGGTGTCTACAAGATTTTCAAAATGAAATTCCCTGACAATTCCAGGTTTTCCATGACAAAAAATGACAAAATTCCCTGACTTTTTGGGTTTAGCCATACGATGAACTAGTTAGAAAATATTAAAAAAAACTATCCTTAGGAATGACCCCGTAAAGTCATATTCTGAATTACCATGGCGTTGGAAGGAGTTGAGTAATACTTTTGAAAAGAACGAGATCCTAAATACTCAAAATAAAGCTGATTCCAAAATGGTATACTCAGACTAAAATTCACCTTCAAAAATTTTCAAGCTCTACTACGCTTTCTTCGTGACATATTGCCCCGTATACTTTTGAAAATTCAAACTATAGTTCACCCTGGTGGTTTCATAAAGATTGGCATATTACTTAGTGCCCTGAAAATACAAGTCTCTTTTTCTTAAAATATAAAACAAGAGTTGTAAATGTGCCCAACTCAGGTAGATTTTGCTATAATCAAGAGGAAATACGAGTTTCTCCTCGATTTTAGATAAAGTTTGGTTCGGGATTTTTTTCTTTAATTTAAGGCCAATTAATTCAATGGATTCCAGAACCTATTGTTGGTATTGAATTTGTCTTATACTCAACAAACGTTGGCTTGTTAGAATATGATCCACCAATAATATTTCTACAAGATGGATGCACCAGCTGTGAACATGTTGATTTAAGAACCAGAAAAATTTCATGCAAAATGCAGTTGATATTAAATATTTCTTTACTCAGTTAAAGAAAAACTAAAATTCTGGCACTTTCATTAAATTTCCTAACTTATTGAAAAAATTGATTAACCGTCGGCTCCAAACTGGGGCACTTAGTTTCCTATCATTATTTACTGTAATTTTCTGCTGTTAGCAAGTGAACTTCATTCAAGTCTATTTAGTCTATCTTGCCATTTGGCATGAATTAAGTAGATAAATTAAATAGGGCAGATCGATTCGATCTTTAAAGTTAGCGAACACACATTAGTGAACCTAGCGGCCGTGTTGCAAACTGGTTAAACAGAGCAGTTTACATTATCAGCCACGCGAGCGCGCTACTCGGCCAATTCGGCAGTGACGAGCAAAAATAGCCGCGAAATGTTCGAATTGCGATAATTCCCTGACTTTCACCGGTTTTCGATCGAATTCCCTGACTTTTCCCGGTTTTCCAGACAGTGATCAAATTCCCTGATTTTTCCCGGTTTTCCCGATTTTCCAGACCTGCAGACACCCTGACTCGTTTAACTTTCTACAAGCTGAGTCAAATTCTTTCTGCTCACGGCAAAATTAAACGCGCGACAAGCAGCAAACTGAAAAAAAGACACCAAAATTGGTGCTTTTTGCGGTTTTTGTCCGCAAAATTTATATCTGCCCGGACTCAAAAAGCGTTGTCGCTCCATAAAGCTGTTTACAAAAATGATGATATCTCGCGAACCAAAAGTTTCCCTGCAAGCTATAATATATCGATGGATGCGAAATCAAACGAACTATCGATTAGACAACTTTTCATTCAAATTTGAAGATAGCTTTTTTGGGTATTTGCGGATTTGTAAAATTTGTCGAATTTAAAAATCGAAAAATTGGCAACAATGCATGTTAAAATTAATGCGACATTAAAAACATGGTCATTTCCTAAAAATGCGCAATTTTTAGAGAATTTTCGTTAAAACCGCAACTTCATAGCTCAATTTTAATGCCACTATGGAATTTGCCTGTTTTCAACTTGTAGCGCGCGGGAAAAATTTCGGGTGAACTTGCCAATGCCGGAAAAAGGCGTGTCTTGTGATAGGGAACAACATATCCAACTCCGGGCAAAATCCAAGCGTAGGGCAAAATCGCCGAGATGAAAACTGGCGGGAATTTCAAATTTAGCGGACAATTGAAGGGTAAGTGAATCGAAGGTATGCTCCCTTGCTGCAGACTATCCAAATGCAACGAAACGCTCTGTTCCATTTCCTTCCAGTCTTGGTGTAAAGTTTGAAATGAATGTCGATTTTTTCATTCGATTCTTATGGTCCAATTGCTCCCGGCTCGAGGGAGATTGGATAAATGAGAGTCGGATAAGAAAATCTTTTCATTCTTTTCGGTCGTTCTCTTGTCAACGCGGGCCTAAGAGAACACGAAGCGCCCTCTCGGGGTTGGGCCGCGTAGCGGACAGGGGTCATAACCCCCGAGTAAAGTATAAGGACGAACTACGGGGGATAGGTATTTATGGCTCCAAGACTACTTTTGAGGGGATAATTCGGCGCCTTCGCCAAGCACCCGGTTAGCTCAGATGGTAGAGCAACTCACTGGTATATCCGCGGGTTCAAATCTCCACCGAGCCTTGGATATTTTATGCTGAATTGGTAAGTCAAATTAATTCTTAATTGATATGTGCATGTCTCTTGTGTTTAATTCATCTGGGTCTTTTGTGTCTAACATAATGTATCCGAATAATAATTGTCTGATGTACATTCAGAAAACTTGTGCACCTCACAACTAGAGGGCGCCAGTACCCAGAAAACTTGTACACTGCACAAGTAGAATGCGCTACTAACCAGGAAGAAGAAAGATAAATATTTTTACAAAATATTTGAAAGATATTTCGCCGACAATATTCCCAAAATATTCCTCAGTAAATATATATTTCATGTTGCAACAGGCAACAATATTGCCAAAACAATTGGTCAACATTGATAAAATATTTATCAAATATATTATCAATATTTCCTTGACAATATTGCTGCAATATTGTCATGGGGCCGGACAACAAAATACTGCAGCAATATTTTTGAAATATTTCCGTGTTGGGCGGGAAAGTAATCTCCATCGCTGTTCATATGATCCATAGGAATATTATTTGACTTAATTGCGAGAGGTAAATATTTTCCTGAAATTAATAAACAT